GTGTGATGGTAGGCACCTGTAATCCCAGCTACTTGGGAGGCTGAGGCAGGAGAATTGCTTGAACCTGGGAGGCAGAGGTTGCAGTGAGCTGAGATCATGCCAGCACGCTAGCCTGTGACAGAGCGAGACTCCGTACAAAAAAAGAAAACAAAGAAAAGTGTCTGTTCATGTCCTTTGCCCACTTTTTAATGGACTTGTTTTTTTCTCATAAGTTTGTTTAAGTTCCCTATAGATGCTGGATATTACATTTTTGTCAAATGCATAGTTTGAAAATACGTTCCCCTATTCTGTAGGTTGTCTGTTTACTCTGTTTATGGTGTCTTTTGCTGGAAGCATGAGTTTTAGATTCAGAAATATGTGAGTCTGAGTCCTGGTTCTACCTTTTATCAGGTGAGATAAGCGACAAGTTAATTGATGTCTTGGGATAGAGGGATAATAGTGCCTACTTAAAGGGTCATCGTGAGCCTTGGATGAGGTGTAGACATAAAGGTCCACAGCATGTAGCAGATTACCTCCTCTTCATTTTTGTAGCTCACTGGCTCCACTAATCATCACTGGCTGTGAACATGCATCAAAAGGCAAAATTCCAACTAATGTAAATATAGATCTAATTGGCTTTTATTTGTGATTCAGGATTTGGGGCAGGTCCCACTCTACCAATACAGTGATAGCTCCCTGTGGGCAATACAATAACAGAACAGTGGGTTTTGTCAAATTGGAACCAGTAAACAGAGCCATATAAATAAATTGATTGGATAACATCAGGGTACTTCAGATTACTTTTTTAGGGGTAAATGTCAAAGGAGAGGGGACTTCCTTATTATGTTGACTCAGGGAGACTGGACTCTTCCATTTTCAGAAAAAAACTGGTCTATTTTGAGATCTGCTTCCTTAAAATTCTAGCTGGAGTATGTAGCATTTAGCATGAGTGGCTCTAATTTGGAGTCTTTAGGCTCTCACTTATGTGAGAATGTGACCAAAAACTAAAGCATTAGCATGACTTTCAGTTATCATCATTTTTGGCTTCCATCACTCATAGGTTATAATATCCTTCTGATCACACATTTCTTTGAGTTTATGTAATTCCAGCCAAAGAGAGACCATTTGATATTAGATGGATGGCAGCATGCAAACATTTAAAACTTTTAGAGATTACAGCACACCAGGGAGACTACTAGGATGATTATCAGGAAGATAATATGAAGAGTTTGGAGTATGCACCTTTGGCAAGATGCAAATCAACTAAAATAGAATAGATCAAAGAATGAACTAGTTGAGTGTAGCCATTTTAACCGAGTAGCATATTTGTTAATTTTTGCAACTGAGACTCTTTAATACCCAATATATTTATCCATGTGCAATGAGAAGTGTCATAAACTTCACAGACTCTTCTCTGTTCAGCCAGTAAGGAGCAATTTTATTATCTAGCATCACATGGTTAAACTAAAACACGGAGTGAGAACAAGTGAGTCTAGAAGTCTAACTCAAAGGGACCATGATACATTTGAACAAACAGTTGTGTTAAAGATGCTGCTAATGTTAGCCACTGGATGGACTAAAGGATCTCTTATGTAAAAATTCGGGTTGACACAATAGATTAGACACTTGGTTAATCTGACATGCTATGTATATTCTCAAATATAACACCCCAGTCAAAGCCTTGGTAATATAACCAATGTTTAAAAATATATCCCATTATAAAGACAGCCAATTCTTACTGAACTTGTGCAAATAACTGAATTACCATAAACATATGAATACTCATGAATAGTTGTCCAGTTCTGTGGCAGTCAGGTAGGGAGCAAAAGTAAATGTTACAATTTTTGTTCACAAAAGTGTACTTTACCAAATTGCCATAAACTATAAATAAAAAACTATTTATTTATAGTAAAAAATAAAGGAATTTGGCTGGTCACGGTGGCTCATGCCTGTAATCCCAGCATTTTGGGAGGCTGAGGTGAGTGGATCACCTGAGGTCAGGAGTTTGAGACCAGCCTGGCCAACATGGTGAAACCTCGTCTCTACTAAAATGACGAAGATTGGCCGGGCATTGTGGTAGGCGCCTGTAATCACAGCTACTTGAGAGGCTGAGGCAGGGTAATTGCTAGGACCCAAGAGGTGGAGGTTGCAGTGAGCTGAGGTTGTGCCGCTGCACTCCAGCCTGGGTGACAAAGCAAGACTCCATCTCAAAAAAAAAAGATAAAGAAATTAATAAATCTGAAAAAGAAAACACTTAAAGAATTAGCAAATTTTCAAATACAAAATTTTAAAAACATCCTCATTATTATTTAGTTCAGTGAAATTGGTTTTTTTTCTTCTGTTTTGATTGGCAATTTCATGAAGGCATCAGCCCGTTTGCAAATTCTTAGACAGTCCAGTGGTATGATCTTAAAGTTAACAAAAACTTGTATTCAAGAGTACTTGTCAGAGTCTTTTCCATAAACCTCCTTGAAGAAGATGAAATTTTGGATAGTAGCTGATTGCAAATGCTTTGAGGAAGAATAAAAACAATTGTCTGTGAATGACAAAGATTGAAAATGACTATGGTTAAAACTCTGATGAGAGCTTATTATGATAAAGGCACAGCTGACATAGAAATTAAGTTACTTCTGTGGCATATGACATTATGACTGATAACATACTCTTTTTCTAGGAATCTCATATAATTTTTGGAACACGCATATCAGTAACATACCCATAAGTATAACTTAGAAAAGGTTTAGCATCACTTATCAATTAACAATGCTTTCCATGGAATTTAACATATCAAATAAGTGGCTTTACCACTTAGCTTCTGTTTCTCAGCTGGATTACTGAGTTCTTGATGGAGCCCATTAATGAATGGGGCCAACAAAGTATAGGCTTGTATATGTTGAAAAAGGTTTCTAGGAAATTTGAATACTCCCAGCTAAAGAAACATTGTTTTGACCTCACATTCTACCTATTAGAACAGGAGTTCTCCATCCTAGTTACATTTGAGTAGCATCTGGGAAGGCTTAAAAATTACCAGTGCCTGGGTCCCACTCCAGACATTAGGTCAGAATTTATGGATGAGGCTTAAGCATCATTTAAAAAAATGTTTATCAGTGATTTCCAATGTGCGGCTATATTTCCCATCAGATTTGTTTGATTTCTTGTGGCAGTCACTTTTTTCTATTTTGGTATTATGATTATTTTTCAAATATTGTCTCCTGTCTTAGGCCATATGTTCTCTGGGATAGGGACCTTGCCTTCTTTATTTCTATATCTTTCATGAACACATGAATTGGTCATTGGGAAAAGGTTCTTAACTACACATAGGTTGTGTCCTATGTCTCAGGTTCACACATGAATGCTAGAGTCATTGTTCTCCACAAGGTCAGTGGTTGCCTGTGATGAAGGGTGTGGGTAACTCCACAGTTCAGAGAATGGATGGGAGAGCACCCTGTTTTTAGGCATAGCATTGAAGCTAAGAATTCGATGTGCATATGGGCAGAGAGGCAGGGATGTGTAGAGAGTCAGATCTTATTAGGATGGAGGAATCATACTAGGGAGTAGAGGTAAAGGAATTAAGAAGGATTAGTAAAAAGAAGAAATGTGGACTTATCAAATAGGCCAGGATAGACCCCTGAAGATTCTTGAGTAGGTGAGTGAACTAGATTTTAGGAAGGTGATGAGGCAGCCATATGCAAGGAAAATTTCAAAGACTGGAGACAAGAAGTCAAGCAGGACTTCGAGCAGTTGTTGAGGTTTGTGGGAATGGAGAGAATGACACAAGTGATAGATCTTAAGAAAGGATCAAAAGACTTTCACAGTGTATTGAATCTGGGAAACAAATGAGTAGAGACTGTGAATAATCACATCTAAGAGACAGTGGGGCACATGGGGCGTGTAGACCAGGGAAGAAGAGACCTGCAGGAGTTATTGATGAGAAGCAGGAGTTTGTTGGGAGGAGGATGAGATTCAATCCTGGGATACAGTTCTCTCTCCCAAGCATGGCAGTCAGCCTTGCAGGAAACAGGACAAGAGGAAAGGCCATCATACCTGCCAGTCTTTCTGAAATGCAGAAACCACACCAGGGCTGCTATATCAGAGCCACCCTGGCCAGCACTCCAATCATGATGCTGAAAGTGGCCCCAGCTGAGAGGACAGGAGAACTATCTGGTACTGAAGCCTCTGTCATGGAAAGAAAAGAGAAGGAATGAAGGTGATGTTATTTTACAGCCGGGTGCCCCAGGAACCAGCATGCAGCATGAAGTAGTCTCTAATTGTTCCTTCAAGGAATACATAATTCTTGTGGAAAAGTTGCTGGGTGATGATTAGCCAACTATATTCTTGCAGTTTTTCTTTTCCCCCTCTCACCATGTTTCTAGGTTGATGATCAGCCTTCTGTCAATTTCATTCTGACCTTTCTTTACTCAGATATTTTTGAAGTCTTTGGGATGTGAGAAAGGCTGTGATATTTTCTGTATCATTAGAACTTTCCACTTTTCATGGTTGCATCTTTTTCTCAGTGTCTGAGTTGTGGCAGATCTCTATGGCAGGGAGTGGATGGACAGAAGGTCCGTGTCAATGCATTCCAAATTGACCACCACCTTTGCACAGAGACCTCTCTTCTCAGGGGCTCCCAGCAGGGGTGTAAAAGCAAGCCCAGTATTATGAGACTCTGTTTAACTCTAATGGGTTACTAGTTGGAAAACACCCCATCAGCCTTGCTGAAACTCACTTAGAACTGTACCACTATTTGGCTGGGCACGGTGGCTCACGCCTGTAATCCCAGCACTTTGGGAGGCTGAGGTGGGCGGATCACGAGTTGAGGAGATTGAGACCACCCTGGCTAACACAGTGGAACCCTGTCTGTACTAAAAATACAAAAAATTAGCTGGGCATGGTCGCAGGCACCTGTAATCCCAGCTACTTAGGAGGCTGAGGCAGGAGAATCACTTGAACCTGGGAGGCAGAGGTTCCATTAAGCCAAGATCACACCATTGTTCTCCACCCTGGGCAACAGAGTGAGACTGTCTCAAAAAAAAAAAAAAAAAAAAAAAAAAAAACTGCACTGCTATCTAAAACTTCTTTTCTCTTTCTCCTTCACAGGGATCAGATCTGCATCGTGGTCTGAGGGATCTCCCAGGCTTCTCCCACACCTGCCCCACTTTCCCTTACAGGTGTTTTTCCTGATAAATTATCTTGCATGTCTAATCCCATCTTGGCTGCATCTCAGTGGGTAAAAACTAATATACTAGGTTTGATTCTTTGCATTTAGGTTTTTATTCTCTCTCTTTCACATGTAGCCAATTATCATGTCCTAGTGTTTTCTGTGTTGCCTTTTTTTAATGTGTATTTACATAAAATACCTTTTACATACATATACACACACACAGACACACACACACACCCACACACCCTTTTGCATCTGTTTCTTTATTTCTGTTGGAACCATTTACTTTTGGCCCTCACCAGTCAACTCAGGCTGATGATTAACGCTATGTTACGTACTGTTGAGGGGCATCTTCTACGTGCCAGGCCCTGTGCTGAATACTTTACCTGTATCTCATTTGATTTATATAAGAACCCTGTCAGGTAGACATTATTTTCATTTTACAGATGAGAAGACAAAGGCTTAGAGTGGTGAAAAAACTGCAGTAATATAGCAGCTAACATTTGTGAAACATTTCCTCTGTATGTGGTATTTTGCTGAATGTTTCATTGATGATTACATTAAACCTTTAAAACAATGCTATGAAGCAAACATTGTTACTGCAATTTTCAGTTGAGGAATCAGAGGCTCAGAGAAGTTAAGAATCTTGTGCAATAAATTTATAACTGCAAACTCTTACATTAAAAAAGAAGAAAGATCTTAAATCAACAACCTAATTTACAACTTCACAATATAGGAGAAAAATAAACTAAACCCAAACACAGTGAATGAAGGAAGTAATAAGGATTAGGGTGGCTATAAATAAAATGGAGAATGGAAAAACAATAGAGAAATCAATGAAACCAAAAGTTGGTTCTTCAAAATAAGATCAACAAAATTGACAATCGTTAACTAGATTGACTAAGAAAAAAAGAGGGAAGATTGAAATTACTAACATCAGAAATGAAAATGGAGTCAGGCATGGTGGCTACACCTTTAATACCAGCACTTTGGGAAGCTAAATCCAGAGGATTGCTTGAGGCCTAGAGTTTGAAACCAGCCAACATAGGGAGATTCTGTCTCTACAAAATTAAAAAAGGAAATCAGCTGGGCATGGTGGTGTGCACCTGTACTTTCAGCTACCTGGGAAGCTGAGATGGGAGGATCGCATGAGCCTAGGAGTTTGAGGCTGCAGTGAGTTGTGATTGTACCATTGCACTCCACTCTGGGCTGGCCTAAAGAGTGGGACCCTGTTTTTCTCTCGCTCTCTCAA